AATATATGTATATATGAAACGCTTACAAAAGAAAAAGCCAACGCCGCAACGTAAACGTACTTGTCTGCTTCTTTACAACTATGGCTTAATGGATGTCTGTTCGTATGCCTGCACATGCACACGCAGGACTTGCCTGCGCGGCGATATGCGCCTATGAGCCTTAACAAAGGCAATCTGCCAACCAAACAACCAGCCAACCTGCGGTGCAAACAAGCCAACCAACCAACACAACCAATCAGCCAACCGCGGCTGGAGACCAACCAACCAGCCAACCAGCCAGCGCGGCGCGCGGGCGGAGAGGGGTTGGCGGCATGCCATTGCCGAAAAACACATATTCATAAGCGGCGGCGGCACCAGCAAGGGCGCCGACCACGGCGGCGAGCCAATCGGCGCACGAGAAGTGCGAACGATCCCGCGCGCCCCCTGGGCACGATAGCCAGTCCAGCCGACCAGCCAGCAAACCAGCCAGCCGAGAGCCACTGGGCGGCTGCCAAATGCGCAGCCGTCTCCACTTTCTCTTGCGGGGGCGGCGCTTGCCGATAGGCATATGGGAATGGAGCGAGCCTGGCGGTGGCAGCCAGCGAATATGTTCCGCTGGCCGATGGGCGCGTCGGCGTATGAGATATTACTTCCCAAGCCCACGGGCCCCGAGAAACCCTGTGGGGTGCCTGAGGGGGGACCAGAAGGTCTGCCCAGGCGCCCGTGGTCCAAGGGCACCGTTTGGAGGGAGCCCTGCGGGAGCCAGACGCTGGCCGCTGGGGCCGAGGAGGATTGCAGGAAGGGGAGGTGGGCGGTTTTTGGCCTCCAGGCCCTCCGTCGTCACCACGGTTGGACTCGCCTTCGAAATTCTGTTCGTCAGAACGCGCATTGTGCGTGCAGGAGAAAAAAAAGGGAGGCGAGGGGCCCCCCCCGCGCGGCCCCCTCAGGCGCAGTGCCCGTAAAGGGAGGGACCGCTCTCCTGGGCCCCGTCTTCCCCTCCGAACGGAGGGTGCGGAAGGGCGCCCCCCTCTGTCCACCCTCACTCCAGCGAAGGTGGACAGAGGGACCGGAGTGGGGGGGGGGTGGCCCTACAGGAAGACGGCACACTGCTGGTCACAGGCCATGGGGCGTTGCACATAGTGCAACGAGGTAAGGGCCCTTCCCATCCCTTAAGAGGGGGAAGAAGGGCCCATACCACGACCCCCATGGTCGCCATATGTGCACTCGCATGCCGTGACCCCCGTCGGTGCCCGAGGAGGAGGAGCAGGGGTACCTAGAAGCCCCGAGGCCCCTTGGAACCCTGTGGAATCCCCCAAGAGCCCGATGGGGAGTGGGGGGCCTGAGGCCCCAGTGGGGCCCAGGGGCCCGAGGTCCACCGACGCCTTCTTGATCCCTCTCAAGAGCCCTATGGGGCCCCTTGCCTTAGACGCCGTCGGGGTCCATCAGACGCCATGGCCACTAAGAGGCCCTTGAAAACCTTGCGGCGCCACCTGCGGGCCCCACATGGGCCTATCCAAACCACCACTTTGGCCAAACTGGGGCCGCAGTGGTGCCCCCAGACACCCTGAACCCCAGCGGGCCCATAAGAGAGAAGCCAAGGAGCTCCGCCCAGATCGGATCACCCCTCACGCGGATCGTCGGCGTCGGCGCGGCGGAGGGCGGAAGCCTTTTATCCTGTGCTGCGCTTGGTAGCCGCTGATCCTGCTGCTGCTGCTGCTGATCATCATCATCACCCTCCCCCCTCCTCACGACAATGCAGCTGGAGACAGTTTCGTCAGCGGGGCACCGCCTCAAGCCCCGATGTGATCAAGCGGCACGGCAGACACGGCACAATCGACGATGGCGGCACGGATGGAGGGCATTAGGAAGATGAGGCGTTCACCATCGCGCAATCGATGTGTCAACAGTCACTCGGGCCATCTCGAATGGACATCCCCCACCATCCCCATCACATGTCATTGCCCTCCTCGCCTTGCCACCCCGTGCAAACGATCAGCAGCGCCCGATGTCGCCACGAACCCGTGCATCGGGCTCGCCGCGCCCCGCACTGAGAGGGGGGACGGGGAACTCAAGCCACAGCGCGCGCTGAGCGCGCAACGCAAGTGCACAATGCAACTACGATGCCTCGAAACCGAACGCATCACATATCTGGCTCTGAATCCACCTCGTCTGGGCGCTGCTGTCGCTCAGCTCGCAACAACAACCTGCCAGCCGCCGATGTCTTGAGCACATCCCTGGCCGCGCGACGCATGGCACGGGTGGGCTCGAAACGCTGGCGCGACGCCCTCCCATTGGGATCTCGACATCCCTCGCAAATCCATGCCGCGGCAAAGCCCATCGGGCGCCCCTGATTAGGGTGGCCAGGGGGTCTCGTAAAAGGCTTGGTCGTGCGGGTAACCCTGCACAAAAGATGCTCATGATCAGGGTTTCTGCAAGATACCTCGACGCTCCTAGTCGACTTATACCAAGCGATTTTGCTGCCGAATTCACTGCCTGGTACAAAATACGTGATTACATTCGGCAGGGCAAACACATCTGCTGGAAGGGGCGGCGGAGGAGGTGGGAGCGGAGGTGGGGGCCCTGGCGGCGCCATCGGTGGAGGCAAGGGCGGGGCAACGAAGGGAACAGGATGCACGTCCATAGCCATAACTGGCTCTGGCTCAGGTGGCTGGGGGTCTGCCTCAGGAGGCGGTGGACGGGGCTCTGCCTCGGGACCTGGGCCAAGAGCTTCGGGCGAGCCAGGAGGCGTCGGGTGGTCGAGGGGAGCGGGGGGCTCGTCCGCCCCGCCCGCAGAGCCCGCCCCAGCCTCGCCCTCAACGTCCGAGTCGGCGTCGACGGAGGACTGGTCCGACTCGCCGCCGATGCTCATCCCGTCCTCGCTGTCGTCGCCATCATCTCCGCTGGCGTCCTGCGAGGAAGGGGCTGGGCATCTCACTTCTGGGGGCACCAGGGACTTTATGGACCGACCAGGGGTCGTAAAAAGCGAACCCTGCTCCCTTCCCCCGCAAGGGGAAGGGGTAGCGGGGGCGGTGCGAAGAAAAGGTGGGCAAGGGAGGAACGGGGACATACTTCAGCAATTGTGGCGGCTGTGGGTGAGATGGGGCAGGTGGTGCAAGCGGGGTGGGGTGGGGGTGAAGGCAAGACAATCCCGCAGGCTGCGTTCTTACGTGCCCACCTCAACGCGTTGCCCCGCGCTAGCGCCATGCCTACAGCCCTACCGCACCAGGCCGCCCCCCTGGCCCAACGAGCTCTGAAAGCGACTGGAGCGGCAACGAGGGGACGGGCGAGGGGGCTCGAACGGGGGGGGGTGACCGAGATCGCGCCGCCAAACGCACCCGATAAGACTGACTGCATCCCCTCGCAAAGCGCATTGCCCCAATTACCTGGGGGGGGGGGGGCAAACGCCTTCAAACTCCTTCAAACTACATGCCTTCGAACTACATGCGAACATCCACCCTGACAACCGCGCCGACTCCGCAGGGAGGGGGCGTTGCCCAACGAACCGAAGCTCTGTGTCACCACCGCTGCCCGTCGACCTACATAGCTCCGTATACGCCGTATACGTGCATTGTGTGCCCCCCACAGGCGTCCTCGTCCTGATGGCCGCAGTCATCATCATCCCCGCCGTCATCGGACTCGCTGGCGCTTGTCCGATCCTCCGCGCCATCCTCCAACGGCAGCGCGCCAAGAGCGACGGCGCCCCCTCCGTCGGGCCCCCCAGCCGCTGGCGCGGCGTCCGCGCCTGCATCAGGCGCAGCTCGGCCGCGGCCTCATCGGAGTCCTAAATCATCTTGCTTCGCTACTGGGGGATGCTTGGCTCTTAGCTCATGGATGGTTGGTGATTCTGTGGGACGGGGGCTCGACGCGTCAGTGCTGGGCTCGGCCCTTCCCCTTTGCGTTTTGGGAGCCGCTCTCGCCATCCTGGCCCACCGCGGGCCCCAGGCGGTCCAAGGGCCAAGATGCATCAGAGATCAACGACCTAGAGCCCAAGATAGCCTCAAGGCTGCGCAATTCACATTTTTATTTCGAAGGCCCCAGGGCATAACGTAACGGGGAAACTGCAACGCGACAAGGCGCAACACAGACATCAGATGCAACGCAGCACAATGCAACACAGCAACAATGCAACAACAAATGCACAAGGCACGCGGTATCTCTGATCGCGTGCCTTGTGCATTTGTTGCGTTGCTTGCTCCCGTGCATTGGTGCGTGAGGGCCAGCGCCTGTTTCGGGCAACCCCCCGCCCTCCTCACACCCCCTTGATCCTCCTCATCCGCCCCCACAACCCCCATCGTCATCCCATCCTACTCCTCATCATCTCCAGTGGGTGGGTGTTTGGAGAAGAAGGGGGATACGGTCTCGACCACGTCCTCGTCCAGGCGCCACGCCTGCGCGCCCACCGCGGCCCCTGCCGCGCGTGGCCCCGCGACGCCGCCTCGCCGCGGCTGGCCAGACCTGAAACGGGTCCACGCCTGCGAGCTCCTCTGCAATCACAACCGCTGGAACGAAGGCCAGCCGCTCGCGGTCGTGGACCTCCACAATCAGAAAATCAAGCATGATCCTCAGCTGCAGCGGGACGGAGGCCAGCGCGATGAACGTCGGCGGGCTCAGCCCACAACCCTTCGGGGCGCGCGCAACCCGCCGCCCGCCGCTCCCCCCCCCCCCACCAGAAAACACATCGTGCGAAGAAGCGGCCGTAAAATCGTCATCCTCACAAGTCGGAGGCTGAGGAAAAGGGGGTGAGGAGGAGGAGGAGTGTGGAGGGGTGGGAAAGGTGAGGAGGGCGACAAGGGGGGAGGGATGGGGCAAGTGAAGAGGGGGAATGAGAAGGGCTGGCGAGGCCGAGGCGGGAGGGGTGAGGAGGGGGGGCGACGCGATCGTTCCTCATGCTCATCCCTCCGCCCCCTCCTCCACGCCCCTCATTGCCCCCATCATCGCGCCCTCCCTCTCCCCCCCCCTTCCCGCCCCCAGCGTCACTCATGTGGTAGTGGGGGGTGGGTGAGGGGTTGACGGAGCCTGACCTTCAAGCAGTGCTCGTCGTCCGTAGCGCACGCGTCGTGCCGCTCAGCAGGCGACGCGGGCGTCATGGGCTGCATCATGAGCTCGTACGGCGAAAACTTCACGCCCGACAAATGCCAATAGAGTGGCTCCAAACCAAGATCATTCATGAGTTCGTCCTCGTCGCCATCGTCCGCCAGCCAGATGAAGCGGGCGATGACCCTGCGGCCAACCAGGAGCCCTCTCGTCTGCGGGCTGGCCTTGCTGAACGTCATCTTCGTAGCCTGGAACACCTTGCGGCGCAACGCTCGCAAGCCGTCGTGCACCGCACCGCACACGCACATGCCGTAGCGCAGGCACTCTCCGTCCTTGAACTGCTCTGCTGGGTCATCAGCGGCATCACCAAGGGATGACAGTTCAGGATCGTCAGGTAGCAATCGGTGCATGTGGTTCCACATCATCTCAGCGGCCTGCTGCACATTGGACTGATGCGTGACGGACATTCCGTGGGCCGCCTCCTCGAGCAAGGCAACGTCGTCAGCGGAGCTCGACGCGTCTCGCTCAACCACGGCTGCTCCAAGAACAGGCGGCAAACACCTGCGAGCCCCTCTCACGGGCCCCAGCGATGGGATCGCATGCACCAGCTCGGGGACGACCCTTCTCGACTCATCATCCCGATACAACTCGAGAAGTTGATTGTCTGCTTCTTCCTGGAGGCGCTGATGGCGAGCCAAGCCCCTCCGATAAGACGCTACCGTGGACAAGGTATCCTTCAAGCTCGTTCCTGAAGCCCCGCACTCACGGATCAGGAAGTCGACTGTGTCATCGGGGTCACGGCCAGCAAACCTCTCAATGGCTGTAGTCGCAAGCCTGGCGTTGCGATGCATGCCCACTTGCCGCTGGGTTGGCGGGAGGGCGCGGAAGCCGTCACGGGCCCTCGCGGCAGCTCTCCGACCTTCTTCCGCCAGGCGCGCCCGCTCAGCAGGGGGCAACGCGCGGTACCGCGCCGACACCTCCCTCATGTCATTGATGCCCTGCTCATGTTGAAAAACGCCCCAAGCGCCTGTATGATGCTCGTGCTGGTACCTTCGGCGCTCAGCTGCATGCGCCCCAGAACCTCCGCCAGCACGCGGCTCGTGAACTGGCCCGTGACGTGGGCGGGTGACATCCTCAGTTTTGGCGCGGCTGTGCACGCCGACGCAAGCTGTCGACAGGTCAACCGCCTTGAACTGGGGGCACTGCGTTCTAGACTTGACGATCTTCCGCATCTGGGCGTTGAAGACCTCGTTGGGGACGGTGTTGCCTTGGATCAGCATGGCCATAGCCGCCAAGCGCATCAAACACTCCTCGCCCCCCAACCGACATGATGATTGCAGCTCCTTCGTGAACGCGTCCTTCATGCAGTCGGGGGCGGCCTCCATCGTTGGCCCCAGCTCGGGCTGCTGGAAGAGCTGAAACAGTCGCGTGGGAAACCCTTGGTTCACCAATGCAACCTCCTGGGTTATGGTGGCGAGAGCGTCGGATATCATGATGAAGGCGAGCGACGTGTTTCTGTTCTTGACTTCCTCTGGCCTGATCAAGTGCCAGGCCGCTGGGGTGAACAGTAGCAGCATCATCTTCTCGAAGCACCTGGTCTCCAAGACGCCGTCGGCAAGAACCGTGACAGGGAACGATCTGTTAATGCCGACTGTCCCCTCTGCGGTGCGCTTGGCAGCATGTACTCGTTCCTTTTTTCTCGAACTCCTTCGACGTCAAATAACAATGTTTCCGCAGCATCGCCTGCAAGGGCCTCAAGATGTTGCTGGCGAGAACGAAGAATGTGTGGGGGACTGGGCGTTTATTAGACATGAAATCCATCGCGAACGCCATATGCTTGTTGAGCCTCTCTCGGCGGCTGCCAGCGCCAGCGGCCTCCGCATCGCCACCCGCGCCCTCGTGGGCGCCCATATCGTCGTCCTCGCACTCGTCGGCGCCAACGTCGTCCACGCGACCGTCAACCAGGGCCGCCAACGCATGCTGCTTCGACCGCCCCCTTCCGAACGACCTGCACCATGACGTGAATGCTGGGCCCAAAAGCCCATGACACATCTCGATGAGGCCCGCGTCGCAGATCGCCGACTCACTGGTGCCCCACTTGCTCCTGATCAGCACTCTCAGGGCACGCGGCATCAATGCGTCTACCATTGAATCTGCAACCGATGTTTTCAAAACGTCTTCGTCCAGGCCAGCTGCAGAATCAACCCATATGGTGATCTCGCGCGTGTCGGCCATGGAGCTGCTGGGCAAGAGAGTGAAGAACACGCGCCTGCGGGTCTTCTGGCCGTCTCCAGAAACGAACGACTTGAGCACGACATGGTTGTAGATAACGTCGTCATTTGATGGGCTGCCTTCTCGGACCCTGAGTCGGCGGTGGACCTCCTTCCAAAGATGAGTGTTAAAGGAATGCTTGCTCCCCGCTACTCTGAAGCACAGCGATAGGTGGATCACCCCCTTGATGCCAACGTCGACGTGCTTCATGGCAATGTTGTGTGCCCGCGCTATAGAGTGAGCTTGGCACTGGTAGAAAAGACGAACCCATCCAGGCTCACGCTTGCGGTCCAATATGCGTTCTCCAGCTCTGTTCGACCTGTGGCCGTCCGCGTCCGTGATCCTCACTTTGTGGCTGAACGTGCTCTCCGACAGCGAAGCCGACCCAGACTCCATCAATGCAAGTGCCTGGCATGCAGCCGAAGTGCTCGCCAACGGCTGAACCTGGCATACCACGTCGCCGACGAGGTAGACGTAGCGCATCTGTCCATTCATCGTGAGCCTGACGAGGTGGCAATACCGAGCCTTGGTGGCGAAGAGCTTCGTGATCGTCTTAGCCCTGAATCCGCGGAACGCCCCCCTCAGCAACGCCGCAGCTAGGGCCCGAGATGTCATAGTCGCGACTTCGGAACCCGCGGCGGGGGGAAGTGCAGAAGGGGCGCCTCGCGATACCTCGCGATGCTCGCTCATACTCTGGAGCTCCAAGGGCGTCTCGTCATACGATACGCGGTCACACGCTTGGATCAGCTCGATGTGCGCACCGCGCGAGCGAGCGCGAAGTGCAATCATTTTGACGATATGGTGTCTATGCCAACGGTCCAGGAGCCACGCCCAAGCAGCCGCTCTCCCCATCCTGCTCTTGAAGGCCCACTCGGAGGTGTTCAGGGACGCGGCCTGCGATGCAAGGCTGGCGCGCACAGCGCCGCCGAGGCCCTCAATCAATAATCCTCTGGCAACTTCTGAAGGCTCGAGGTTACGGCGACGGGCAGCACTCAGTATAGATTGAATTCTGGCCGTCAGCGGGCTCTCCCAATAAAGCCTCTTGCTGGGCAGCGCTGCAACGACCTCGGCGCGGGACAGAATGAGCGCAGTGCTGTCGGCGATATCTGCATCCAGTCTGGGGCGTTTGGCGGGCATCGCATGCTGCTAAATAGCAAGAGTGTGAACTCCAGCCATCCCTATGGGCGTAAAGAGCTTATCGAACTCTTCCCTCTTCCCCCAATCCAATCTTCCCTCGGGGGGGGAGGGGGGGCGCGCCCCCCCCCGACCGCCGCCCCCGCGAGCAAGCGGCTTCAAAACTGTCCCTGGATGCCACCCGAGACGCCTACCATGGCACCCCGACCAACGTCCAAGAGGCCTCTCACCCACAACCCAAACACGGTGACAGGGTGGGCCGAAAACAGCTATATATACATATACATAGATATATATATATATATTATATACACGTTTGCATTGTCCCCCCCTCCCCACACACCGTCAGCTCACGGGCGCCACCTTTGAATGGGCTGGCGGGGATGCGCGAAGCGTTCTGTATTCGCACGCGTGGCCGCGCCCAGCGCACGGCGCGCCCAGCGCGCTGCGCTTCTAGCCAAAATGGCTGACGAGGCGAGGCACGGGCAAGGCGGTGGGAGGCAAGGGCCAGGGCGTGTCGAGGCGAGAGCAAGGCGGAAAGAACTGCGATGAACAGCACCGCGCATAGCGGAAGCAGAGTGTAAGCACTGCACTTGGGGAAACGCACGCGCCCATGCCATAACCGACATGCGAATCGGGCGCAGCCATGTTCGCCAGCGTGGGCCCCAAACAGCAACTGCATGACCTCGTCGGCCCTCGGCCCCCGAGACACGGGCCTCATGATGACACCAAAAGCGCCCTCAAGACTGCCGAAAAAAAGACGCGACGCTCGCCAGAGACATCCTCACCCGACCTAAGGGCCTGACCTGAGGGCCTCAGCATTGCCTCACCATGGCCCCATCGCCCAATCAACATATAGGAAGAATTTCGGTGCGATAGTGAGGCCCTGCCTTGATGGCCTCAACACGGCTTCAACATGGCCCCGCAATTCAAGCATTGCGGCCTCGAAGGAGGCTCTTATTTCTGCCCCATGACTACACATGCGACGCTCCTGCTACCACATAGCCCACACCAGATAGTTAACGCAACGCGTTGCAAACAATCAATACCACTGCACGTCGCGCACGCGCAATAGCAGCCACACCACAGCGTACACCACACAGATTGCGCCACATTATTCACGCATTATGGCGCCCACCCCGACGCGCAATAGCGGTCGCGCAGCTTCGCGCGCACGTGCGCGATAGCACCCGAAACAATGAACGCGTTGCCCCGAACCAAATGCGACCCCATCCCCCATGAGAGCAATGCAAACACCTTGAAGGTGCTGCTAAGTGTCCT